TTATGGTGACTGTGCCTCATGGTGACCAAACCACACAGTGACCACACCTCACGGTGACCGCGCCTCACGGTGACCGCAGAAGCCTCTCTCTCAGCCCCAGTCTGAGGCTGTGTCAGCTGGAGCAGCGTCCATCCCCACGCGCGTTCCCCTCACACTGTGCCCTCCTGGGTGACCCCGGGTTCTTACAGACCAGGTAGCCCAAGGTCATTGGCAAGGTCGTCCAGCCGAAACTCCGTAGATGACATGGACTATACCAGAACGTAGATTTAACGGAGTACTGAGGCGAGACGGTGTGTCGCGCACAGGAGGCAGTCCCCCTCTGCCTGTGGCTTCAAGAGCACTGCTGAATGGGCCGCCATGTCCATTTGTTCCAGTGACACTGCTGGCGCTGCTCTGGGCAGCTGGGGATGACACGCAGCCCGTGTTTGCAGGGTGGATCCCGTGACCTCACGGGATGGGTGGAGACGAGGACCCGGCCGTCCTCAGGCTCCAATCTCTGCGGAAGGAGAGACGCGTGGGGCACTCAGGGGCTGCCACCTGAGCTGTTAACAGGATGGGTCAGGGAAGCAGTGCACGGCTTTGTTCAGCTGCCCCGTCTGTCCACGCCAGGCACACACTTGAGGTACACAGGACCATGGTGAGGAGGGCTTGAGCTGCGGGGTCTATGAGGCCCCTCCGCGGCCACCATGGTGCTCTGCTCACCGTGGCACAGCTCGGAGCCATGCGGCCTGCCCACGGTCTGCAGGCAGGGCGGGGCTGGAGGAATCTCAACACATGCCCGCAGCCATGCTTTCAGGGTCTGTCGTCGAGTGGACCCGACTGCTTTTCCAACCATCAAGGCACGGAATTCACTTGGACATGGGACCTGGGTGGGGACCACGTTTCTGATGGGAGTTGACGCTTCCCGCACCTTCTCGTCCTAGTCAGGGCTGCAGTGGCAAAGTGCCACAGCCTGGGTGACTTGTGAGCAACAGAAACGCATTGCTCACTCCTAGGCTGGAGGCCCAAGGGAGGGCCCCTTCCTGGCTGCAGGTGGACTGCTAGCAAGCTCACAGGGTGCAAAGCGGGTGGGAGAGCTCACTGAGGGCCCTTTTCTATGGATATTCATTCCACGCATGAGGACTCAGCCCTTGTAACCGAATCACTTGCCATCCCATGAAGACCATGTTCCCTTCAGAGCTGGGATTTCAAAACCTGAATTTGGAGATGAACGCAAACATTCAGTCCAGAACCTTTCTGCTCGCCAACTGTTCATATCTTCAAGTGGAGCAACTGGGTCTCCATCTGATTGGACTGCAGGAAAATTAAGACCAGGCATCTCCCAGAATGCCATGGTCTGATGTAGTTTTGCTTCCTACATCTTTCAGGCTCATTGTGCAGCTGGCCACCAGGGAGCGCAGCTCTGGGGAGCATCTCCTCATTAGCCTGGCCTGGTGAACACCATAAAGATGCAAGACCCTCCTCCAGGGAGGGTCCTGCCCCTCGATGACCATCTTCTTGCCTCCTGAAGAGCACGGTCCAAGACAAGGCCTCCTGCTTCACTTGGTAACTTTAGTCTAATGTTATCAAATTCCTGACATTCCGACCTCCCCTTTGCTAGGATGGGGAAGCACTGTGGCTCCCAGACTCACATTCATGCTGCCCATCCCGCCACCCAGGGTTCAGGAAACTTTCACAGGTGACCATTGGGAAGAGCCCCAAGCATCCCTGAAAGAACAGAGGTCACCCTCTCCCATCCACAGCCAGGATTCCTTCCCTTGTCCTCTGGGCTCTCCTAATTGGCCTGATGTACCCTCCTCATCCCTCTCATCCAAGGTGAAGGTGTTTCTTCTCCCCTCCTCTGAGGGGCTGGGCTGAGCCCTGGCTGACCCCAGCAGAGACAAGGCCAGGGCATGGAGCACCAGCCCTGAGTCCCCTGGTGAGCCTGTCCTTGCTCTGGCCAGAGGATCTGCTGGTGCTACTGCCAGTGACCCAGAAAGACTTGGGTCTCCTTGCTGGCATCCCTGCACTTGTATTTCCCTAGTCCTGGGGTCTCAGGGCCCCTGCTCCCTCTTTGGGTGTGGCTGTGACATGGGGCACCTGTGAGACTGCCTTGCATCTCCTTTGCCTCAGTTCCCGGAAGTGCTTTCATCCACTCTGTAGGTGCGTTCCTTCCCATGCCCCAGGGTTCCCCCCACACCCTTGGGGGGCAGTGGGGTTGAGCTTGTTCTCCTTACCCAGCAGCAGTACTGTGCTGCTGTGCCATCTAAGACTACTGCTGCCCACACACTGGCTGCACAGCCCCCAGCTGCTGCCACCTCCTCTGCTCTCAGCTGGACTCATTCCATGACCACAGCTGGCATTCAGTGACCCAGCTCCTGCAGGTGTCGGCCACGCCAGTATCACTGGTGGGCTATGGAGTCCCTTTGGGCACTCCTGGTACTGAAAGCCTGAGTCTGTGCTCAAAGATGAATTTGAGGCAAAGCTTATGATGTTGTGCTTTACTGGAAGGTGCAGTCCAGGACAGCCAGAGAGGATAGAAAAATGAGCAGAGGAAGGGCAGAGAAGACAGATGACTGCGTTTTCAAGCTGCTGCAACTTCACAAGGTGGCTCTGTTATGGCCTCGCACTGGACGCCTCAGATGCAATGACGGCACTTCAGCACAGTGTGGCTGGCAGGCAGGAGAAAGAACCTGACCACCCTAGCCTCCACTGACCAACACTTGCCCTCCCATGGTGTGCCAGGTGCCGACTGGGCCAGGAGGCAGCAAGAGATGCCCAAACCTGCTGGGCCTGTCACTAGCACTAGCGAGGCTCCCGGGAGATCTGCAGAAGGGAGGAGGCCCCTGGGCATGAGTTCATGATGTCACAAAAAAATTTTAGGATACATCAAGGAAGAGACTTAAAAAGTTCATCAGTAAAACACAGATAGAGACAGTACACAGCCCCGACACGGGTGCCGGCACATCTGGTAACAGGTGCCCTGAGTGTGTTACCATCAGGGGAATGCATGGTGAAAAAGGAGGTTGGGGGTTGGTTTGAATTCACCTTGGGGAAAGAGCTCCTCTTTGCTCTGACACCTGGCATAATTGTCACTGCTGTTACACTGTTGTACCAGTTGGGCCGAGACTTCAAGGTTTTCAGACTCATTAAATTTGGTCATTAAGACCTAAGAGGTTGGGTCCTGCCAGGTGCTCCCTTCAGGAGAGGTGTTCATCTCTGCAATAAGTATTTCCCTTTGTAAACTCTTCTTATGCTCAGGAGTCATTTTTCCAAGAGATTTTTTTCCCCCAGGACAAGAGTCTTTCTTTAAGACATCATCCTTGCTCAGTTCCCAGAGCACACTAATTATTTGGGCAAACTGTCAAAGTCAGAGAACTGCTTTTTCCTTTTGTTCTTTTTACTAAATGTTGCAGTGTAAGAGAAGTCAGGCTCCAAACAAAGAAAACGGTGCATGTGTGTCTTTAATCAAGTCATTTATTAATACAGTGTTTACCTCTGAGGTCCAAGCAGCCGTTTCCCAGGCCTCACTTCCCCTGACCTGGTCCTGACTCAGGCCCACCAACCTCTCTGGGCCCTGTGGCCACTGCTTGGAGTGTGAGTGGTTGTGTTCAAGCCTGGCCACGTCCCAGGGTAGGATGGGCACAGACAGGAGAGGGGGGCAGCACCATCACTGATCCAGCCCGAGGGTCTGTGGGGCAGATGGAGACAAGGACACTAGGGTAGACACAGATAGTGTGCCTGACTTCTCATGTGCCCTGTGCTCACTGTGGTTAGTTACTGGCCAGGAAGGCTCTGCAGAGAAAAGACCCCAAAGCATTGCTGTGTCCACTGTCCTATCCCCAGCACCCTACAGAACCTGGTGTCACTTCTAACATACCTGAAGGACTCCAGAAGTCAGCTGCTTACTAAGTGCGCTGGCTTTCACCCTGCCTTCTTCAGCAGCCGCTGTGGGTATGCCTGTTCCCCTCGCCTGTGGTTCACGCCAGGCAGGTGCTATGTGTTGACGGCAGGGCTCACTGACCACAGGCACTCACCTCTGACCCCCTGCAGGCTCTCCAGCAGTCTGCTTCTCAGGCCTCTGGCCTTCCCTGTTCTCAGAGGGGCCGGAAAGGTAGCGAGCAACCAGAGGTCACTCTGCGCTGACTGTGTGGAGATGCTCCTGGCCTCGGTCTCTGGTGCTTATACCCCTCCTTTCCCGTTCTAGGGGGAGTTCACCCCGGCCTTGCAAAGCATCCGTAAGATGGACATTTTCTATGACATTAGTGACGTCACACACAAGAATGGGCACAGGCACGAGTCTCAGGAGGATCCCAGGACCCCTGGGCGCTGTCTTCCACCTGCATTGCCCCAGCTGGCCATGGTGATGCCAAAAGGAGAGAACAGGCGGCCGTTCCCTCCCCTCCTGGATGTGATCGCCCTCTTGTATTTTACAGGGAGAAAAAGGCAACTTGTTGTATTGTGTTCTTAAATAACAAGACTTTATTCATGAAATGAGATAGCAGCTAACAGTTAAGAAAGCCTGGCGTGTGCATGCAATTTGGAGAAATTTGGCCAAGTTTCACACTGGCATTTTTAGTCATCTCTAAAGTGCTGAGAAATTCCTTTCTGGTGAACGCCTGTTAGGCCTTTTTTTCCCTTGTTATCCATCCAGTAAAACATCAAAATGGAAGGACAGTGGTGATTTCCAGTTCAACGTTAACATTATTTAAAATGGGAAGGCAAGAATGTTTGGTGATGACCCTGGAATCTAAATGTTGGTAGCAGTGAGCATTTTGGTTGAAAGCAGAGACATTAAACACTAGATAATATTGTTAACTTAAGTTTTTGATAGAAAATTGCAATATAAAAATGCTACTTTGTTAAAATACACAGCCACACATCAGTCCACTTTGGAAAACCCAGTTCCCTTCCGAAAGCACAGCCCCGACAAGACTACAGTGTGTTACCTGGCTTATTACACTATTATAAATCTTGTTTTGGAATTTAAAAATGCAGAATATAAATAAAAGTGGTGAGTCTGAGTCAAGTGAAATCATTTTAAAAATTGTTAATAAATTCCTACACTATTGAATACGCTACATTTCCCCACAAATCCTCTAAGTAAGAAGATACGAGAACAGGTTTGGAGCTGACGAGGCTGAGCACCTTCATTGCCGGTGGATGACAGCGGCCAGTGAGTGTGGTGGTGGTGTGGCCTCAGCGTCACTCAGTGACCCAGGACCTGTCTCCTCCGCGTGTCAGGTGTCAGGACAGCGCTCAGCTGTGGGGAAGAGCAGGTGGACCTGCAGGAAAGCCCCTGACGTTCTGCACTTTGCTTTCCCCTGCCGTTTCCAGTTGGCCCCTGGCAGTGTGGACATGGCCTGAGCTCTCGCCTATGCTGGGCCGAGACCCTGACGGCCACTCTGAGGCCAGGAGGTGACTGCCCCCCTATGCACTGAGCAACGGGATCTGCCAGACCATCACGGAGGACATCATTTCCTCCTGGGGCTGCCGGGCCTTCTTGTGCACACGCCGGTGGCCCTGGCCACCACACACCACTAGCACCGAGCTGGCCTTGGCTCTCCTGGACCTCTGTGCCCTGCTCCTGCAGTAGGCTGAGGGGTCCTTCAGGAGGTCACAGACACTGCTGTCCTCAGACCTGTGTTCGAGTGAGCTGGAGCCATGAGACAGGCTCAGTGACCCAGATGACGAGGACAGGTCGCTCTTCTGAGAAGTCAACCCCAGAGTGTCTCCCAACCAAACAGCTGTGTCAGGGTCACTGTGACTTGGACGGGAAGGGGGGCCCTCGCCAGGGAGCATGTCCTTCTGGTCTTCGCTCTGGGGCTCAGGGCCGGGAGGCGGGCTGTCCCTGGCTCCATCTTGGTCCTTCTTCTGCAGTGCGGTGGCTGTGACAATGAACTTGACAGGACCCTGGTGTGCATGGTAGGACACCATGCCTCTTCCTGAAGGGACAGTTCAACAAGTGTGAGAACAGACAACATCGTGCAAGGCAACCGAAGCACAGGTCACCATTCCACCAGCCCCCAACCAGAAGCCGCCATGAGTAACGCAGAACCTGGTGGTGGTGAAATGAGAATGCTGCTACATCACAATCCCGAGAGGTTCATCGGTTTCAAGGAAGCCTTAGAAATGACAGGTTACTCCAGAGGCACCTGCACACCCATGTTTATTGCGGCACTATTCACAATAGCCAAGTTATGGAAACAGCCAAGATGCCCCAGCACTGACGAATGGATTAAGAAAATGTGGTATCTATACACAATGGAATTCTATGCAGCCATGAAGAAGAACGAAATGTTATCATTCGCTGGTAAATGGATGGAATTGGAGAACATCATTCTGAGTGAGGTTAGCCTGGCTCAAAAGACCAAAAATCGTATGTTCTCCCTCATATGCGGACATTAGATCAAGGGCAAACACAACAAGGGGATTCGACTATGAGCACATGATAAAAGCGAGAGCACACAAGGGAGGGGTGAGGATAGGTAAGACACCTAAAAAACTAGCTAGCATTTGTTGCCCTTAACGCAGAGAAACTAAAGCAGATACCTTAAAGCAACTGAGACCAATAGGAGAAGGGGAACAGGAACTAGAGAAAAGGTTAGATCAAAAAGAATTAACCTAGAAGGTAACACACACGCACAGGAATTTAATGTGAGTCAACTCCCTGTATAGCTATCCTTATCTCAACCAGCAAAACCCTTGTTCCTTCCTATTATTGCTTATACTCTCTCTTCAACAAAATTAGAAATAAGGGCAAAATAGTTTCTGCCGGGTAGCGAGGGGTAAGGGGGGGTAAGGGAGGGGGTGGGGGAAGGGGGGAGAAATGACCCAAACATTGTATGGACATATGAATAAAAAAAAAAAAAAAAGAAAGAATTGGTGCCAGTGGCTTACACCTGTAATCCTAGATATTTGAGAGGCTGAGTTTGGGAGGATTACAGTTCAAGGCCAGCCTGGGCAAACAGTTCTGGAGACCCCATCTCCAAAATAACCAGGATGAAATGGACTGTGGCTCAAGCAGTAAGCACCTGCTTTGCAAGCATGAAGCCCAGAGTTCAAACCCCAGTCCCACCAAAATAAATTAAAGATTATTCAAAATATGAAACTATTTTCCTCAGAACTCAGTTCTAAAACTCATCATGGTACTTCTGAGGTAATAGAACAGTTACTGTGCAGGTTTTTTGCATGAAATTCCTTCTCAATGCTCTATGGAAACATAGCTAATTTTCCTAAATCTTGATTAAAAACTTAAAGGTTGAAATGCGTCAGTTTTAGGAATAAAATCCCTACACTACTGGCGCTTCTGTCATTTTTTTTATTGCAAAAAGTTTCGGGGTTTGAAAAAAATTAAACCTACAGTCTTAATTAAAATGAGGACTTTTCGGTGAATTTTCAGGTGCTGTGACTCAAACTCCTCATCAGAGTCAGAAACACCTGAAGTTCTCCTGACCAAAGACCACCAGGTGCCCAGCTTCCGTCATGGGGGGGGTGGTTAACAGGCCGTGCCCTGGGCCATTCACAGGTGCTGGTCACTAAGAGACTGGGGTCTGGGTCTGTGCTCTTTGCACAGAATGATTTCAGGTTGAACCCAGGCCTCACCATTACCATCACCATCAATCTGGCCAAAGCAGATTAAGTTATAAAACTGTTCTCATGGTGAGATTCCATCCTCAGTGAGCAAGTAAAGCTCACCCAGGGCAGAGCCAGCAGCCACAGGTGGTCACACACAGTGAGGGGACAGAGGAGGGACGGGGTGCCCACACAGTGAGGGGACAAGGGGAGGGGCGGGGTGGTCACACATGGTGACAAAGGTTTGATGGGTGCTACGCCTGGGACATCTCAGTGACCACTGGTGAAGATGCACTCCAATGCGCTCTGCACTCCAGCAGCTAGACACACCTGTGCAGCTGTGTGCAGAAATGGCCACGAGAATACTAAAGGAATTATGTTATGTGATCAAAAAGCTGGAAACAAGTGAGTATCCACCACCCATGGAGCAGGGCAGGGTCCTGGCCTCTCAAAGGCCCACCAAGGGCATGGATGAGGACAGCAGGCACGCAGGGAGGAGCTGCAGAAACAGCACTGAGAAGACAAATCCACTAGAGAAGGTGCTTGCTGTGGGGCTGTGGTTGACATCACAGAAACAGGAAGTCGAGAACTTTTTTTATGCACAACTTGGTGAAACAGATGAAAATCACTGGAGTGAGTAGCGTAAAACTCAGGGTGGGGAGCAAAGTGTCTGGGAAGGACTACGGCTGCATTTCCTAAGCCAGCTGGCAGGCAGGTGGCGTCTGCCTCACTACCGTTTAAGCTGGACAGCCTCAGTATTTACACTGCTGATAAATGCAATACTTAAATCACAAAACCAGAAATTAAGCAATGAACAGATCTGTAATCCTTTGTAATCCCTTATTCCTAACAGGGACACGCCAAAACACACCTGTGTCTAAACCAATGGTGGGGGGTGGAGGAATGGGGGGCAGCTGGAGGCAGAGTAGGGCTGGGCAGGGCCCTGTTAGGACGGAGCGATGGACTGAATCCTGGTTAACACACTGCTGAGTTCCCCACAGACCCTTTGCTGTCAGCCATTCCTCCCAGACAGAGAGTGTGGTCAAAAAGAATTTCACGTCTTGGTTTTACTTAGCATAATGGCGCCATCAGCATCTCGCAGAGCCCTGCTCTGCGGGGACTCTAGCCTGCTTCTCCTCACTTTGGACCCTCAGGCTATCTTCCTTTTCGTGCTGTTGCGATGACATGCTGAAGAGGCTGTCCCTGCACCAGGCTTGCTCCCACACCGGGCACTTCCTGAGACAGCTCCTGAGTGGGAACCCAGCTCTGGCTTTAGGAACACTTGAAGATCAAGACTCGTAACACCAAGCTGCTTCCCAGAAAGGCTGTTTATCCAGAGAGCAAAGAGAAAGGCCCCGTTTCCACCGAGCCAGGCCCGAGGCTGACGGGAAGTAACGGGGCAGGGACAGAGATGTGAACACGTCTTCAGAATGAGGTTCTCCTGAGGCCCCACCATGGCAAACAGAAAGTGAAGTACAAAGGGGCAGTTCAAATTTAATAGGCTTCTCTACTAACTATTTACAGTACACTAAAAAATCCCAATGATGAAAAAATGCATGACTGCTCCCAGGGAGGGGCTGACAGGGGTCAGTGTCCACTCACCAGTCACTTTGGGGATTCCCTGCAGACGAGGGACTGGCAGGGCCACAACAACGCCCAGGCTGGTGCCAACCATCAGCAAGCCATGGCAGACGAGCAGGCTGGTCACAGACAGCCGCTGGTGCCCTGGGCGAGAGAGGAGAGAGACAGAGAGAGACAGGAGGGGACAGAGGTGTATGTGTGCAGCTGTTTCGTGCAGCGGTGCTGGGAGGGCAGCGGGGACCAGGTACACTGTCTGGAAATCCCCCAGTCTCCCACTACACTCAGCCTCCTGCAGGCCGGCCTGGGAGCAGGCCCACCTGAGTGCTGGGCCTCCCTCGACCAGGACCTGAGGGAGGCCTGTCACTGCACCTGAACTGAACAGAGCACTCTCCCAGCTGCTCTCTGGCTGGCTCTGCCAGAGGTGAATCAAACCCCAGAACCATCTATTTAAGCCACGAGCTTCTGCACAGTGCAGCCACGGGCACGCACACAACACACCCACACGAACACACCTCCCAACGTGCCTGTGAGGTACCTGTGCACACCCATGAGCACATGCCCGCAACAGGCACTCCCATGCACAAGCACAAACACCCACACACAGTCGCCCTTCACACATGAAAAGCCATCTCCCACGGGCAGGGGACTTCTGGTGACACTCCACAGCATCGTAGGAACGTGAGGCTGCCTGTGAGGCCTCCCAGGTGTCTGGGCAGAGAACACCTCAGACACGATGCCAGCAACAGTGGGGACACCGGCACAGGGCTGAGTCAGAACGGCCTGTGGCGTCCTGGGTTCTGTCCTGTTGGGCTTTCTTTGCAGCCAGGGGTCTGACAGAGGCCATGGAGACAGGGCAAGTGCACCGGTATGTGGCTCTGCCACTGCACTTCCATCACAAGCAAGGCTTCCGAGCGGCTAAGGGAAGTCCTGGCATTTCTAACTGGCCCTGAAGCTGACAAGCACGATGGCACTGAGTTTGTGTGTGAGGTGTACAGTGGCCCCGTCAACCTCGCTCGATTCTTGCTTTCAGCAGGTGTACAGCTGGGTTCGATGTCTGCATTTGATCCAAAGTTCACCTTTATTTAAAGAGCCCGAAAGCAAACGATGTAAATGCCAGGCCCAGGAAGACTTGCTCTCTGAAGTCATTTATGAGGAAGCATTTAGGCAGCAGCAAAACTAAGTAACTAAACAGGCTCAAAACCCAAATGTGTGCGTTTCTCCAAACACGGACTCGTGTCAGTTGTCAAAAGCTGAACGGCATCGATGTTCTGGGAATTCTGAATGTTTGCCCTGTTTTGACTGGTGTGGGGGTCCTGGAGACGGATGGCACACAACTATTCTGCATGTCACCGAAGTGCCTTTGTTTCCAAAAGCCACAAGAAGCACCGAAGCCATCAGGACTGGTGCCCAGCACCCCTCAGGGCTTCCACGTGGGCATCCTCAGCCCGTCCCAAAGCCACGAAGCAGGGAAGACGTAAGTAGAGAACGTAGGCTTCCGGTGAGTTTGAGTAAATCCCTGAATGTAAGTAAATTTCCTTTTTAGAACACAAAAGTGCTGGAAACCATTAAACCAGCAGCCTGGCTGCTCCCCCGGCCCCGCCGAGGCCTCGTGGCCTTGGCTCAGCGCAGGGCAGGACAGCTCTCGGGCCTGCACGCTGACCCTGGGCTGGCTGGGAGGACCCACGTGGATGTGGAGCGCACTGCTCTGCAGCTGCCTAATCCGACATCCTAGAGAATTTTGCCTTGGGAAACGGAATTCTAGTTCACTTTTCTACACAGAGAAATTTCTGAGGTGAATTTTCCTCCACAGTGAATCTGTCCTTTTTTAAGTGTTGACTCGGGGCTTTTAAAGAAAAATCTAAAAACGTTTATTCTAATAAACAACTCCACTGAGAGGCAACTGATGCTGATACCTGGGCCTCTGAGTGGTCTCTCTCGACAATGAAGTTACATTTGCCCACCTCAAACAGGTCTTCACAATGCCTTTTCCTTCATTAAATCACATGAGGAAAGACTTCCAGCTGCGAATAAAAACAAAACCCAATTTACCTTCAGATGGCGAAGGGGAGAACTTCACTACCTGTTTTCAATCTCCCTGGGAATCTTCCCCTCTGCGTGAAGCAATACATTTAGAGACGTCCATTTGTCATCGGTCTTCAGATTCTAGACCCACATTATCTTAAGTGCAGTAAGAACAAGGAGGGTGAAAGCAGGCGAAACCCAGATACCAGTTTTTTCTAACTGGTTTGAAAGCGTTCAGAAACCAAGTCTCAGGGATGCCTGTTGCCTCCATGTTCAAAGCCGGCCACGACTCTTCATGTTTCGGTGACTGGCTGCGTTGCTGCTGCCATCCTGACCATCTGTTGGAGGACCTCGGGCAGGCAGGGGAGGACGTGAGTCCCAAGTGTGCCACTGTGTACCGTGGACCTCCATTCATGAACAGCCTGACGTCGTTACCGATTTCCTTGTGGCGTGGTCTGTGGTATTCACAAGAGTTACACTGACTTTTTTAATGGAAGTTTTGGCCATTTTTTTTAAAATGGTCACACCACTCGTGGAGGCTACATTGACCAAGTGGGACACAGAAAGCTCAGTGTGACCCACCACCTTTCCACCATCATGTCCTGCCTGGGGCACTGTGGATGATGCAGGAAACACTGTGCCGTGTGTTTTGCACCAAGGGTGGACCGTGACTCCATCCTCTCTACCCCAAGAGGAAGTCAGCAGACAACAGCTGACAGGACGCACGGGATAGGCCACCTGTGTCTCACAGCTGGGGGCGTGTGCAGTTTGGTTTTATTACGTCCCGCACAGGGGTTATTTTCACAGAACACTGGAAACACAAACTCCACTCACACTTGCCGGCCTTCCCTCCAGCAGCTGCTCTGACTGTAACTGCAGGGGTAAGCACCAGGCCCAGCCAGATGCATTGTGTGTTTGGCTCTTGGGAGCCGGAGCCATGCAACCTCGCCTGTTTCCCTGGAGGGTGCAGGGTCAGGTCCTAGGGCCCTCAATCACAACACCCGTCACCACCCACAAGGACGGAGCCCGGAGCAGAGAGCACTCCCTGGCCAGATGTGTGCGCATTGTCAGTCCATGAGTGTGACTTGGTCCCCCTTGAGATGACCACCAATTCCAATGGTAGACACCTTCCTGGCAGCCTGTGTTTCAGAGAAAGCCCCTCCTCCCCAGCAGCACCAGCTTCCAGAGCTGGAGACTACGCCATTCTGGCTTCCTAAATAGAAACGTATGTTACACAGCCTCCATTTTCCTCACTAAAAATATCCCCCAACATGCTATCAATGATTTGCACAGCCAGCAGCGCCACTGAAAGAACAGCTGTCACCGCGCTTCAGATGCCTCCATCCTATGGACCTGGGGTGAGGGCCCCTCAGTTGTGTCCTTGGCTACTGCCTCTCCTGCCTCGGCCTCCTGGTTCCAGTCACTTTGCCTCTGGTGTCTCCACCTGGCCCTTCATCCTCATCCACACTGGTGCATGTCCACACACACCGGCCACACACTGAGACACGTTTATACATGCTGGCCACTCACACAGGTCACACATACAGGATACATGCTTGCACACTCCACCTATGCTGATCTCCAGCAGCCACTGGTTCATGCAGACACGCGGGACCTAGCACGCTCACACGTGGAAGCTACACGCCTACACGAGGTGTGTGTGCACACAAGGGCCCACACCCCACGGGCTGTGTGCACTAGCCGCACACTGCTCACCCCTCCCTCAATCTGCTCGTTCTGTCCTCTGCACCCCCCCACCCACCCATAAACCTTTTCCTAGTCTGTATCCTTCAACTTGTTCCCCAGGGCCGTTGGCATGGCCACCTGGTTCAACCCACAGGACTTCACTCTGGCTGTGCTCACCGTGGAGGGAGCCGGGGCCACTGTTCCAGGGTGAGGAGCCTGACACCTCTGCAGGCCCCCATCTGCCCTGCACTTGGTGGAGGCTGTGCACAAGGGGTGGTGATACTGGGAGACTTCTCTCCCTCTGCAGGTCTTCTGTCACCTCTGCTCCTCACCTGCAGCACACTGTGTACAGGGCAGCGACACAGGGACAGCTTCCCCACCACAGGACCCCCACCACACCCCCTCGTACCTGGCAGCATGCTGTGCACAGGGGCGGCGATGTTGACATCCTGCAGGTGCTTCAGCGTTTCCGTGTGGAAGAGGCGAAGGGTGGACCCCGAGGTGAAGGCGATCCAAATTCCAACGCCAGCCACGGCCATGTGGGAGATGACCATCCCTTCCTCTTGATGGGCCTCCAGCTGGCCCTGGGGTCAAGAGATAGTCATGGTGGTCAGGGGTGCTGCTGGAGCAGATGGCCCAGTGTGCAAAGCCTGCTGGGCCACACAGGGAGGTAACGGGGATGGGGTGACCATGTACATGGAATCCTCACCACGGGGGCAGCAGAAGATGAAGCTACAAGTTCAGATGATGAGGAGTGCCTGGTTCACGAGCTTATGCGTGGCAAGCACATGCCTGATGTTACATGCCTCCTGACCAGCCAGTCTGTGCACCACTAGCTGCTGTGTGGACACGACCTGCCCTTCTCCACCCAGCTGGACGCCTCCTCTCCTCCCCCTCTCCTGCTGCTGCACTACGTTCACCACTGAGGTGCATTTAGGGTACTTCCAGTTGTTAGGGACACCAAGTAATGTTGCCAGCCACACAGTGAGTGCTCGCCCTCACGCCTCACTCCCCTGGAGGGAAGCCCTTGCAGTGGGACAGCAGAAGGAGCGAGCTCTGGGAACACTGACCGGCAGTGGGTGATTCTGACTCCCACGGAAGCCGGCTCAGGTCCCCTCCACCCGCCAAGACACGGACGCCCCGTGCTGCACAGTCGCTGGCTGGACAGCACTGAGTGTCCTTCCTTTGCCACTCTGGAAAAGGACACTCCAAGGTCCGTGGTGGCCCAGGGTCAGGAGAGGAAGCATCAATGGAGGGAGCAGAGGGGATTTTCAGGGTGACAAACCACTCTGTGTGATACTGCAATGGTCCATTCACATCACTGCACATTTGCCCAAACCCGCGTGGTGCCACACCAAGCATGGACCCTGATGCACCCTGTGGACTCTGAGTGTTGATGATGTGTCAGCATGGGTCCACCGATGGAAACAAGCTCCTTTTTTTTCAATCTCTTGCCCCAATTTTGCTGAGAGCCTGAATCTGCCCCCCAGATAAGCTGTGTTGGTAGAATGGCACCTTGCTTTACTGAGCAATGCAGTTACCAACAAGGCCGAGGGCGAGTGGCTTTTTCTGTGACCTGCCCTTCCAGGTCCTCTGAACGTTTTCTATTAGGCTGGTTGCCTTTTCCTTAAAGTTCAGTAAGAATTCCTGGTGTGCTAAGCACAGTCATTCTTGGTCATACATACAGGGAACATTTTCCTAATTTTTAAAGTAAGTATCCCGAGGTGCATGTATTCGGTATCAGATGAGAAAGGAACGACTTCAGTTCACATTTTCTCGCTCTATTTATGGCGACTTCTGAGGATCTGGGTCCCGGGAGAGGCTTTCTTCACTGCAGTGACAGACGCCTTCCCTTGGTTTTTATCTCCTCAGGGTAGAGTTTTGCCCTCAGGGTAAACTCCAGCCCACAGCAGTGCTCAGAGGCGAAGCTGGGCTGGTCCGATTCCTCACCAAACAACGCATTCGCCCGCTGATGTTGCAGAAATGTGACTGACTGGCCAGCGAGAATCAGACTCGAGCCCAGGGGGCTGGAGGAAAGGAAGGTTTATTCTGCTAGTGAGCCAGCACCCCAACACCTGGGCTCGAGTCTGTCAGTCAGTCAGTCACGTTTCTGCAACAATGTGAAATGACCCTTTGGTCAGCCGCTGATTTTCCATATGGCCTCGAGCGCTCCACGTCCACCTGGATAAGCTTCTAGAGCAGTGTTTCCACTGCCTAGCAGGTGAACAGTGAGCAAGTGCTGCTGTGGGTAAGTGACTTGAACTTCCTAGCTTATCTATCTGACAACAACGTAGAGGGAATTTTCTTTGCACACGGCCCCAGGGAAGTAGCATCCCCGGCTTTCCACTGCCAGAGGCTGAGCGCGACCCCAGCTCCCGGGGTCACCTGGGCTGCTTCTGAAATGTGTCATTTCCACACCGAGCAGTGCTGGAGACGACTTACCTCAATGGCATGGGTCTCGGTGCTGACCATGGACACTTGACCTCCAGATGCTGCCCACAGCGTGTCCTCCACCAGCAGAAGACTTCTCACCGGCAGGACGCCCAATTTTATCACTTTCTGAGGTTCTGAATTCCAGGATCCATCTTAAAAAAAAAGTATTTCCTTTAAACTCACGCAAGTTCAGGTGACTGCACACAGGGACAGAAACGGGATCACAGACCACTTTAAATAACAACCAAAATATCAACTGAAATCTTCCTTCCGGGTGTACCCAGGTGCCAAGCACTAACCCCATTTCAACAGGGTGGCCTGGGGACGATGACAGATCATGGCTGCCGGGACGCTGCCTTTGGGACCCAACTGGGTCACCACTGACATGTGTCAGACACACACTCGTTTACCCTCGATCTCAGTTCCGTATCCGTCAGATGGGGACAATCTTCCCGCCAGCTTCGAAGGCTGTTCTAAGAGTTGGAAATGAAAATGAGCCTTGAGCAAGGCTGAGCACAGGACCTGGTACACTGCTCAGTAAACACTGTCACTTCCAATTCCAATACACAAGGCAACTTGGTCCTCAGCAGGGACACACCCGGGTAACTGGGCAGGGGTTTAACTTCCCCCATTGCCTGCATAGGTTTAAAATATCCCTCCACATGTATATCACAAGGAGACTGCCGCCGAATGTGGAAAAGAAATCAAGACCAGACAGGAGAAAGAGGGCCCTGCGTGACACTGCTGTCGTCCCCACCCATCCCTGTCCCCCAAGCCAGAGACCCACGATGAGGCCTACCATGCTTTAGACGAAGTGAGCCAGACACCGTAAGATCAGCGCGAGATCCAACACAAATTTTAAAGTGGCTGGTGCAATTAGCCTGTCACTATTACGACCAACCCCTCAATTGTCTAGTCATTCATTAAGCCACCATGCTTCTGGAGGCAAGGACGCAGTGCACCAATACCTGTGGCTTCCTCACTAAATATGCATCCTTTGCCCAAAGAAGACAGCGAAGGCTGGGCTCTTCCTCTGCCCAGGTTTGGGGCACGAACCTCTGATGACAGAGGGAGCCAGGGTGTGCAGTCGCCAGAAGGCCGCTCTGTGAACTCTGGCTGTGGTGGCTTCTTGTCATAGTTCAGCTTTAGTGGGAATTTTGTGTCCCAACTAGGCCAGACGATGCTGCAGGACAGTTACTAGGCCCATGGATGCTGGCCTGCCTTTCACTTAATGTCGGCTTAGTACATCATTATGTGGGTAAACATGCACTCACATCATGCGTGCACACAGGAATGCAGATACACGCATGCACATGCATAGCACGCAAACATGCACGTGCCCTCACATTCTCCCGCACACACACATGCGTGCACACAGGAATGGAAGCACACACATGTATACACACATGCCCTCGCATTCATGTGCACACACACATGCATGTGTGCAAACAGGAATCCAGGTACACACATGCCCTCACCTACACACGCACACCCTCATGCACAGGTGCACACACCCTCATCACAGGTGCACGCACATGCACAGGTACACACACACGCAAACCTCACGCACAGGAGCACAACACTCACACAAGGTGCACTCACACACAGGTGCACACACCCTCACGCACAGGTGCACACACCCTCACACACACTCACACACAGGTGCACACACCCTCACGCACACTCATGCACAGGTACACATTAATGCACAAGTGCACACACCCTCACGCACAGGTGCACACACCCTCACACACAGGTGCACACACCCTCACACATACTCATGCACAGGTGCACACACCCTCACACACACTCACGCACAGGTGCACACACCCTCACACACCCTCACGCTCAGGTGCACATTCATGCACAGGTGCACACACCCTCACGCACAGGTGCACACACCCTCACACACCCTCACGCACAGGTGCACACATGCACAGCCTTCCCACCTGGTGCTCACAATCCTTGGAAGCACTGCAGCCTCCCCGTGAGGGAGTGACAGTCACTTGCTCCTAAGGGCACACAGATCTGAGGCCATGGGGAGCTCCACCCGTCCAACGGTGCTATTCCTTTGAAACAGGAGCTCAGAGATCAAAGGCGGGATAGCCTACTGTGACAGTCCACTTTGGCAAGGGGCCACTTCACAGCAACTGGCCTCTGTTCTGGGCGGTTAGGCTGCCTTCCCAGAATGTGCACAGTTTCCCTGGGTGGGGCGGCGTTCCACGCCAGCCACTGAGCACGTGTGGACATGGTCAGCAGAGCTGCTCTCAGGATGACTTTTTCCCAGGACTCCCCCAGGCAACCCACACCGCAGGCCGACTCCATGCTTGAGGTGAGTAGCACCTGACTACCTGGGCATTTCCTACCGAATTCCTGACCTCCAGAGGCCTGGTATGTGAGTGTTTCCCAAACAGCTGCCTCCTCTCTCAGTGAAGGCCACGACCTCCAGCCAGCCACATTGTCCACCACTGAGAACATAAGGACAGGCTGAGTATGGATGCTCAGGCTCAGGCTTGCAGGCCTGCCCACCAGCGCTCAATGAGGAAGAGGTTGAAACCCCTTAGGCAGACCTCCTGACCCTGCTGAGACACAGCCCCTGCAGGACAGACCATACCAGCACTGTTGTGATGCCACTGCACAGCCCAGCGCAGGGCCAGCCACAGTGCACAGAGATGAGCACACACAGCCTTAAAGGAACTGGTCACTGAGTAACACACAAAGGACAAAATGGCCCATGCACAGGTAAGAGGGTCAAAGAATAATCATGTGAAAACACTGAAAAGAAGCAGGTGTGGTGGTGCATGCCTGTAGCCCCAGCACTCAGGAGGCTGAGGCAGGAGAATCACAAGCTTGAGGCCAGCCTGGGATACACAGTGAGACCCGGAAAAAGAGAAAAAGAAAAACCCCAACAGGAAAGGTTGTCACAAATAGAAGAGCTGCTCCTATACACTTTGTCCCTGTCCCTCTGCTGCCTCTGCCTGGCAACAAGGAGCAGCAGCCTCTGGACTCAGCTCAGCTGCCTCTTCCACCCCAAAGTCCCTAACCTGAGGGGCCCAGGGTGGGGCTCAGGAGCAGAGCACTCGGCAGGCATGAGGAAGACCCAGGTTTGATTCCCAGAACAGCATTTAAAAAAACAAAACCTAAAACAGTAAGGCCGGCCCTTTGCAGTCTTTCTGAGCACCTTCATATCCCCACCTGGGCTGTCATGAACAGTATGTCACAGCTGTGGCCCAGATGACCAGCCTGGGGTCACCTGGACAGAGCAGACAATCAGAACCTCTCCAAGGTGGGAGCCAATGTGGGGTGGGTGGGAGGTCACCGTCCACTGGAGACACCTGCCCTGCATGGGGGTGACTGGAGGGAACCCTGGTGACACCACAGCCTGTAGTGCAGGGCGGGGGAAGGGAAGCCCCGCCTTGGCTCCCGTGCTCTGCCTCCTTTGGGTAACAGTGCCACTGTTCTTACAAACCTTGAAGTGGGACTTTCTTTTCTCCCTGACAAAATATACTTCACTATAGCGTGAGGACGCTGTCCTGGGAACTGCTGAAGTTCCCCTACAAACATAAGAAGCTGCCCCTGGGGCAGCCACACACAGCAACCGGGTCGAGTGAGGGCCGTGTAGAGTGCCAGAGCATCTGGCAGGGAGGGTGGGCTCCCGAGCCCCCTGCACCCCACCTGGATGAGAGGAGCCACCCGTGAAGCGGGGAAGAGCAAGCCCGGGAACAGGCACCCCACCGAGTGGTGATGCCAAAACTCTCGGGAGGCGCTCACGAGAGTTTTGGCATCCCTCTCTTCACCACCGCAGGTTCAGGAGTCTGTGGACAGTGAGGGACAGCGGACAGCAGGCTGATACCCTCTCCGCTTCAGTGCTGGGAGGACCAGATGGGAGACAGAGAGCCATGGGCTGGTATAGTGCAGTCCACGGAGAAACTGTGGGGTGTCTATGGGCTGCAGAGCCTGTGGCCTGAGTGGCCCTCCCCCGGCTTCCCCAGAGCCCATCAGGACAGCCAGTGAGACATGGCCATGTGAGAAGAGGACTGGGTGGTCTGCACAAGGGGGGAGCTAAGGACGTCTTGAGAAAGAAGGGTCATGGGCTCAACACCCAGGAGGACCCTGCCCAGGTGGGTGAGGCCAGTGGACGCAGTACCACTTGTAGGCACCACCAAGAGGCAAGCTTGACCTGGATGGCCACCAGGAGCCCATGTAAAGGGCAGAAAGGGGGGAGGGCTGGGGAGGGGCCAGAGAGCCGAGAAGAATGCACGGGTGTGTGCAGAGCCCAGGAGGGCGAGGGTGGGGGCTTCAGACTCAAGTGGCGTGAGATCGAATCCCTGTGCAGTCCAGAGACGTCACCAAGAGGCTGGCTTAGGAAACAACTGCCCGTGTGTCCATCAGTGGCGTTTTGGAAAGGAGGAAGTTACCCAGGCCTAGGACCAGGGGTGACAAATGCTAAGGGGAGGGGAGACGGATGTGCCCACACCGCCCCAGAGACAGCCAGGGCTGAGCACCATTACCTGTGGCCTTGGTGTAGCTGGCCACTGACCCGTTGACCAAGCCAGCGTACAGGCCCTGTGGTGAACAGGCCAAGCTCATGACTGTGGACTTCTCGGGAGTGAAAAAGTGTTGAAGCCTCACTTTCTTGGAGCCTTGGCTGCTTTTGTAAATGGAGATGCTTTAAAAGAAAGACACAAGTTAGCCGGTCCGTTTGCTTGTGTGAAAGCCTCACGTCGCCCCGTCCTCCTCCCATTCGGGGACATGCTTGGCTACGCTTTGAAGTATTTGCAGCCACTCTGGTCTCTTTCTTGTATTTTCAGTGAATGTTCTGAGCTATGAATCTATCTCAGAACTCTTTAACTTTGCGCTAAACAGCGTCAACGTTCGATGTGATCGTAACACGGGCCGTGGTTCTGCTTTATTCTGAAATGTAAGGACTGGACTTGGAGACGCAGCAATAGAAATGGTCATTTCAGGAGCAAACGGCACAATGGAAACCTTCCCCTGTAATAAACTGCTTTCCTCTGGGGCTTCCTAGACAAATGCCCACAGCCTGACTCAGTGGTACGTTCAGAGTGCAGCAACCCTAAAAACGCCCCCTTGCATCCCATATTCTCAGCGTTCTGCCCAGCATCTACAATGAGGCCCCCTCCCAGGACAGGCCCCACGGCTGTGGACGCAGCCGAGGGTGACCCTGGCCACACGGGCCGTCCTCTACCTTCCTTCTTCCGTGCCCAGACAGATGGTGGGCACGTCGGAAGCCCTGGCGGCCGTGGGCTCAGCGTCCGGGGCTGCACTGGGCTCTCGGGGCTGCTCCTCCACGGGAATGTACACCATGCATAGGATACGAGACTCCACGTTGAAGCACTCGATGACTTTGGGGTTGGAATTTTGAAAGGAGACGATGGCAATCTGACCCATCTGGTTGCTGCAACTTCCGATCTGAACCGGGAAGGGAGAGGGGAGACAATGAGCAAGCGGTGGGTCACGCCTGCCTCTGTGACCCACGGACACCTGACCTATTGAGGCATCAGTCTTCATGTGGGAATCAACGCACGTGGAAATCCAAATGGAACATCAGTGATCTGCTAATATGACTCCTTTTTCTTTTCAACAGGTTTAATCAGGTTTTTAAAAACAAAGAGCATACTTTTTTTTTTTAAGTTATAGCTGGGCGTGGTGATGCACACCTGTAATCCCAGTTCCTCTGCAGACAGAGACAGGGGCATGGCAGATTTGAGGCCAGCCAGGGCAGAGTTAGATGAGATCCTTGCTCAAAAGCAAAATAAACACAAAGGGCTGGGGGCGTAGCTCTAGAGGTAGAGCACTTGCCTAGCAAGTGCGAGGCCCTGGGGATAAAGAGAGAGAAAGAGACCATCCTGTGCATTAAGAACCAGCTACCCATCAGTACACGGTGACAAAAGCTTAGGCGCACTCATTTTACAGTCCCAAAGAGCAAACTAATGTTGATTTTAGGAGGTTAACACCAATGTTTAGCCAGCTCAAGTCTTAGGTAAAACAAACCTTTGAACTGAGAACAACAGAAAAGAACGCAGTCCGCGGGGGCCAGCCATACAATCCTATTTTAAGCTTCCTACCATGTCTGGGAGGACAGGCGTGTACCACCACGCTCAGGGTTTTTCACTGAGAAGGGGGTCTCACAAACTTTTTTTTGCCTGGGGTGACGTAGATCTGTGATCCCCTAGTCTCAGCCTCCTGTGTGGTTTGGGATGTCAGGCACCTGCCACCATGCCCAGCCATCTCAAAAGGTTGAGATGGGGTCTCACAATCTTTTTTGACCAGGCTAGCCTCAAACTATGATCCTCCCAATCTGCACCTTCCGAGTAGCTGGCATTACAGAGGTGAGCCAGCACAACGGGCTGTGGTGAGCATTTCTAAACTAGTTTTCCTACATCAGGAAGTTCTGGGGTGTCAGTGTTCACTGGAGGAACACTGGGCGCAGTTACTTCCCTGAGTGCTACTGAAATTTAGTTTTGGTCACGTGGTCACTCCTCGTTCATGGATCTGGTTTGGGCGGTTGGCTCACTGGGTTTTTCCTGTCCTGATTTTGAGCCTGTTGTTACGTCCTGTCTCTCCTGCATTTGTCCATGCTGCAGATGAACGCCCGCCCTCCTTTGACCCTGCCTGCCTCAGCGGCGGGGTGTGACCAGGAGAGGGGTCGGAGCACCAACACCCACAGGCCTCCTGGGAAGGAAAACACACAGCTCTCCTCAGGTTCCAGCCCGAGGGAATCCAGCCTCTGCCTGGTTCCCTAGGTGGGCACAACTGAAACACCAGACAACCAGCCTGCTTCATCTTTAACGGTGACAGGACAGACGTCAGCCTGGAGCAGAGTCCAGGGGGGCAGGGGGCAGGCTGAGCGTGGACCCGACGCCCCGGCCCGAGGGATTCCCCTGCTGTGCCATAAACACGCCCGACATCAAGGCTGTGCATCTGGAACAGGCTGACCTTAACCTCTGAGCCTCCAGTGTAAAAAGCCAGCCGAGTCTCAAAGGGAGGAAAGTCCACGACGTGGAAAAGGGTAAGATGACTACTGGTGGAGCCAGCGATCTTTGCACTGAACTCAAGCTGTCGAAGGGCAGATGGAAAAGCAGAGAAAGGCGTTCGATGCCAAAGAACCCCTGTCTTCCCGAAGGCCGCCAGCCCCGCCACAGAAGCCCTCCATTCAAAAGTCAATCATGGAAGCGGCTGGAAGCCGGGCTTCTCGTCACGCTGCCTGCGCTGTCACTGCTTTGTGAGCGTGCCCTGAAAACAAGCAAAGACTCACCCACAGGAAGCCGTGTGCCGTGGAGAGTGAGTCCGGCTGACTTTCGTTACTTAGGTAAGGCTCCGGGTTGTAAGCAGCACACTCGATCTGAAAGAGATCAAAAACCAGACACTCACAAAAGGGGACCCGGGCTTCTAGGCTACGTCAGGTCCTAAGGGGAGGACAGCTTCAACAGCTAACCCAAATTCCAGGTCGATTACCTTCCAAAGATGAAAACAGCAAGGGCAAAAGCTTCACGTGCACCTGCCCCAGTGTCCGCAGGGACAGGCTCCCCAGGACATCTACCCGGGGTGCTGAGACCCTTGGATGCGCATCGAGTCACGTAAAATGGCGCCACGTATGCATGTAAAGCCTCACACATCCCGTATCTGCCAAGTTTTCAATACAGGCGCCACCCACCCATGTTTTCCATCCTTGGTTGGCTGCATCACGGACAGGGAAGCCACGGGCACAGTCACGTCTCAGACGTGAACCCCGAGGTGGCTTCAGTCCGTGTTGTACTCTCCAGACCCCGTGGCCCGTCAGACAGGAGGGTGTAGCTGGTGACATGGCATGTCCACCTGGCCTCCCCACGGGCGCATGGTGGGACAGGGCAGGGGCTCTGAGACTCCCGAAGGTGTGGTCATGGGAGCTGCAGAGAAGCCCAGGCCAGGCGAAGTGTGGGACACGGAGGAGCGAGAGGTAACAACACCGACTTTGTTTTCAGAGGCAGGGACATGGACAGGTCACAGGTCACAGAGTCACTGGCGCTGCCGCAGAGGCCCCTGGAGGTGTAGCTGCTTCAACACAGGGTGGTCACCTGTGTCCAGCACACAGGCCTGGAGTCCTGACCCTCTGTGCAAACAGATAACCATCACCACGCTGCAGCATGGCAGGGTGACAGGTGTGACACAGGCCTCCCGACTGAGTGGGGAATGCCCGGAGCCCGGCAGTTGTCCCAGTGACCTCAGTGGGCGTCAGGGACGGTAGCTGAGCCCCACTGTGGCTGCAGACGACAGCAACTTTGAAGATTCCTCAGTGCACGTCCCCCTGAGAACCTCCCTGGAGAGCTGAAGTTCTGACGCTGGCCCACACCCATGGCCCCAGGAAGCCTCGGGCCCTCACCTTGAACTCGGGCTGCCTGGCCACCATCACTGGCGTGTGTCCCACGAGGAGGGGGTGCGTCTCCTTCTTGGTCTGGTTCCCGTCATCGCCCACGCAGAACCAGCCCAGGTGGTTCTCCTCCTCTGTGAAGACATTCGGAGTCCCGGGCGCCGTGAGCCGGACGCCCGGCACTGACTTTGTCTCTCACTGCAGGACACAAGTCTTTCTCAGCGGCCTGCTGCAGACTCGCTCACTGCTTCACCCCAGACGGCAGTGTGCCTGGGGCCGGTGGCACCACCCTCTCCCTCCAGCCCGAAATGGCGGGCAGCGTCAACCCCACAGGACTGTCCCCTCCATCCCTTTTCCTGGTTTCACAGCACAGACGGTTAGATTCAAATAACAGAGATGTAGTGGGAACCCCCAAACACGCGTGATGGTTGATCTTGGTCCCCAGCTCGATACGGACCGAGAGCTGCCTAGGAGACGGGTGACACACACCCTGGGGTGTCTGGGCGGTGTGTCCAGGATGACGGGGTCGTGAGGGCTCTGACCCCACGAACAGTGTAACCCACTGAGGGACTTAAAACCCAAGCAGCCGCTGGAGGGTGGGGGAACCGTGGAGGGCGGGGTCTTCTGGGAGGAGGGGTCACTGCGTACATGTCCTTGGGGCTGCATCCTGTTCCTCTGTGCCCCCCCTGCCCCAATGGACTGAAACCTCGGACACTGTGGTGAGCAAAATAAACCTTTCCTCCTCGTAAGTGTTTACGTCGAGCATTTTGTCACAGCAACAGGGGCTGTAATGCTACGGATTAAAAAGTGCAATGAGATGGAGTCATCTGCTGCGACAGCAAAAGGGCCCTCCTTAGCTCTGAAGGCCATGGGCTTATTTTCACGTCCTTCACGACAGCCAGCAGCCTCCTGTTTGCTAAGTCCCTCAAAACCTAACTCAACAAACTGAGCTACCCAGGAAGGGCAAAGGGTCGGGAAGGCTCCCCTTTCATGATAAAAGTCCTTTTCCTTCCACTACCATCGCTTGCTAGGGGACAAGCAACACTCACTTCTCTTTTATTCCCAGATAGCATTTCAGGTTGTCTACACCTGAGAGAGACTTCACAGGTGCACACAGCAACAGGTCTGTGTGTGAATTTTACTCACCCAAGGCTAACAGGACAGAGGAACAAGAAAGCCCCCAGGGTCACCGCTACACACAGCAGACCTGTGTGGAGCTATCCTGGAGCTGGCCTGCACTCTGTGTCATGGGAGGGGAGCATGCAGCCGGGACGCACAGTGGACGTCCTGCTCCTGACCCACACTGGGGCCTTAAGCCCTGACCAGGACCCCGGCCTTGAGGGCCACACCTGAGCTCTACAGTCACAACTGAAAGCACGGCTCCGTCTCTGCAGCCCCTGAATTGCAGCATGAGTTTGGCAATGTCCCTCGTGCCGGGCCGACTCTCCCGGGTGAGGCCGTTCCTCGCTCCTGCATTTCCTCTGGACCCGAGTTTACGGTCACAGTTGCTTTCATGGTACAGAGGAACTCATGCGACCCAGGACTCCGAAGCGTCCAGTCTCGCAGAGCCGACCACGGCTTACCAAGGGCGAGCTTGGCCATCTGCAGGTGGCTGACCCAGGACTCTTTGATGGCAGGGGTGAACGTGTTGAACACAGCGGTGAAGAACGTCGGCCGCCCAGACCTGCCACACACAACAGCGAGCCGTCACAGGCGGCGTCACAGCCTGCTTTGCCGTCCGGCAGAGTCCCCGAGCCAAGGACGCATGTCATGACAGAAAGCACCGTCTCTCCAGCACTGGCCCAGAGGGTTCCGTTTTGGAGTTACTCACTTGTCCTGCTTCCCGGGGAGCTGCAGCTGAATTCTGCAGCGGTCGGCGGCTCTGATTTCATCTTCTTTCTTCAAAATCAGTCTTTGCAGACCTGACGTCCAGTCGTGGGCCACCGACTGGTTTAAGTTCTAGGAAGGAAGTGCACACACACATTCTCAAAGTGTTCACAGAAATGCTGCCGAGCTGTCACGGGAAAAACTCAGGGCCCAATAATACCCATATCTCATCATGGAAAAGACTCCCTGGGGTTAACCGCACCACGGGTGGCCAAGACACTTGTCAGACAGAAACGGTGCTGGAGGGTTCTACAAAATCAGACAGTGTCCTGCCCAAATCAGAGTGGGCCTTAAAGTCACCTCAATTCTCACTTCTGGACCACACAGAGAAGTAAAAACAGACCAGTATGGTAGCTCATACTTATAATCCCTGCTATTCGTGAGGCAGAGAATGGAAGAATCACAGTTCAAGACCAGTCTGGGCAAAAAGTTAGAGACCCCCATCTCAACAAATCATCTGGTGTGTGGTGGTCACTCCTGTAATCCCAGCTATTTAGGAGACAATAGGAAGGAGAACTGTGGTCTGAGGCTGGGCTCTGAGCAAAAATGTGAGACCCTCTCAGAAAATAACTAAAGCATGAAGATCTCGTGGCATGGCTCAAGTGTTAGAGAACCTAACTAGCAAGTTTCAGGCCCTGAGTTCAAACCCCAGCACCAAAAAAATACCCCTTCATTTCCATAAAACTGCTCGGGTTACCTGGTAATTCCCTTTGAGGTTTCCTATCAGCTGAGAGATCTGGCCGACAACATTGAGGTCGTGCAGAAGGTTCTGCAGATCTTGATACAGCTGTCCTGGCCCCATGTAAACTTTGCCTGAAATAAGGAGAAGGACAGACAAGAATAGTGGGGACCAAAAGCCTTGAACATGGCCTTTGGGAGAACACTAGGGCTGCACCTTGGGGAACCAGGAATCCCGCTGGCTCGACACTCGCTGTCCTGCCTTATCCAAATCACCCCGAATGTCATTTTCTACCCTGCAGTCAACATGGCTCCCACTGAACCTGACCTCCGCCTCGGGGACGGTCCCCAGCCGGGGACAGGCCCTCAGTCTGTCTCTGCTCTTGCGACCTGAGCCTTTCAAGACACTGGGGAGTTGTTCTGTAGCTTCAAGGTCTGATTTGGACTGGTACTTTGCCATTGCTACCGTTTTTTAATATTTACGTAATCACTGAGTAAGAAGTACTTAGAAGTAACCTGAATCAAATTTTCATTACCTAGGGTCAGCGAAGGTCAGACAGTCTGTGACTTTCCCCAAGCTAAAGAAAGCAGGAGTGGAAGTGGTTTCTGCCACGGTGTCACACGGCCTGGGGTGCACGCGCCCTCCAAGGCCGGCCCCACACCTTTGGGTGGGCTGCAGGAGCCAAACCCCACAGCAGACCTGTGACACCCAGACCAGACGATCCACCCCAGGAGTAGACTGTCCGGAAGAACTTGAACTCAGAACCGCACACCTCGCCCGTGCTGTAGACCAGTGCGTGGTAACGCCCAGCCTTCTCCCATGCTGCACAGAGAAATCGCCAGCAAAGGGAGCCAGAGCTCAAACGCAGGCACAAGAGTTCATTTGGGTCAAACGGTGACAGTGACTTGGTCCCTACAGGGCGGCTACCTGAGGTCTGGCCAGCCACAGGGCGGGAGCCCACCAGGGCCTGCTGGGTTTGAGGCTCTGCTGTCCACGTCTTGAAATTCTTCACAATTCTGAACGAGGGACCCGAGTGTGCATTTTGTACCAGGCGAGCATGTTACGAAGTGTGTCAGTGTGTCTGACGTAATGTGCAGGTTAAGCTGAAGACTTCTGTAGGGCAACGCTGCAAGCAGGCCACGGGTGCGTGCAGCTAAAGCCCCGCTCGCCCGAAAGCTGGGGTGGTCACCACCGCTTTGCCAGCACAGTGCGTCAGGGACGTAATTGCAGGGACACTCAGGTAGAGGCGGCCTGAGCGCTACACCTGACAGACGCTCTCAGTGAGAACTTAGTGAAAGTGCCAGTTACCTTTGCTAGCTCACGTCTGTTTCTCAGTGTACTTGTAATCATCAGTCAATAAAAGTACCCTTTTAATTTTGGTGTGCAGCTCTTGGAATATCAGCACACGTGCAGCCATGTAACGTCAATCAGCCCACGCCACGGTTCTGCGGCCCCCGGCACAGCTCAGGTCCCCGGCACAGCCCTGGGGTCCCCGCCATGGCTCTAGGACGGACTCACACACAGCTCTCCCACCTGCAAAGATTCCCTCACTGTCCCCTCAGAGTCACACCGCCTCAGCCCCGCCCGGGCAGCCACCAGCACGTTCTGTCTTGCGGTGTCCCAATCTGCTCCTGATTGCCTGTGTCAGAAGAACCCCTTGGTTTTGGAGGACCAGAGTCTAGCCTGACCACAGCGTCACTTGTCCAGGCAGCAGTGGCAGAGCACTCTGCGTCCCGTGTCCATCTGCACCCCATGTCTGTCAGTGCACGAATGCAGCTCTGCACACATGTCCATCTGCACACACATCCACCCGCACGCAGACACAGCTCTGCACCCCGGCGCCCAGAGGACTCAGCTCCAAGCTCCTGTCCCATCCCTGAAGCACACGTAAGCTGGCAGTAGTTTCTCAGCTAGTGAGTCAATCACCCCCGCCCTACCTAAATAATTTGTTCCTGTTAGAAACACAGAAACATGACAGCCAACGGCTCCTAAATGAGTTTGAAGAAAAGAATTTAAATTAAAAGAGGAAACTGGAAGAAAAACAATCTTTTCTATCAAAGTACACGTCACCCTCTTAGATTACTTAAAATTCCTCAGGTCGCCATCTTAGGGGACTTGCATTATTTAAAGGGCTCCTGTTTCTTTTGGATTCTTGTACAGCCCTATTGCCCACCAAATTACGTGCCCTAACCCATCCCCCAGGCCTTTTAGCCAATCAAGAAAGACTGTAACCTTTGACCTGGACAAATCCCAGGTGAGGGGCAGATACAGCCGTGTCAGGGATGTAAGGAGGAGCCACTGTCAGCCATTGTGTGCTCACGTGCTTGCACCTTTTGATCAAAAGAAATTGCTTGTCAAGACTTTGTCTCCTGTGTGTCTGTTTTCAGCACAGGAGGGTCTTTAATGCCAACAATTTGGGGGCTCGGTCCCGGATATTACATTTCGTCCGAGAACAGGGGCCCCCGGCCCTTCCCTAGGGAGACCTGTCCTGCTGCCTGGTTGTGGCAGCCCCGAGGTTCAGCTGACAACGACAACTTTCGGGATCTGTGAGTGATCATGGACTCCAGAATTTCTTGACAACGCGGAAAAAAAGAGCTCTGAAGACAGGGGCCATGGTGACCATGTAAGTTTTGTGCACAAACCAAGACAAGAAACGTCACGGGAGGGACCAAGTAATGTCTTGGTGGTCGGGACACTGGAGGCTGTGAGATGTGTGAAGGAGACGTGCTGGGTGACATGCAGGAAAAGCAGAATCCTGATCTTCAGTTCCGAGGTGACCTCATACTGTTTAAGGTGGAATTAGACTCAATCCAAGTCAGCAGCTTATACTGACCCGCCAGCTACCAACGGGTGACTCTAGCTCCCACGAGGGACACGGCCAGAGATGGACAAAGAGAGAGAATCAGAGTGCAAGAAACCTCCAAGGCAAAGGGGGGGTTGAGCTCCTGATAGAGCACAGTCGACCAGAAGGGAGAAATGGGAAATAAAGGCAGCAAAGACAGGGGCCAGAAAACAAAGGCCCAGGATAAGATACCATCTGAGAGCCCCCTAGGGAAGATGTGAAAATATTGGGAAGATAGCCCCTGTACTAAAGGGGAAAGAAACAAAGAATGGTCAAATACTGTTGTTTTATCTGGACCCAAGAACTGATCTTAAAGCCTTTGGGTTTTTGGCCAAAAATTTGGGTCTGCCGAGGACTGGGTCTGTCAACTATGAATTCAACATGTAAACGACAAGAGCCCATCACTTAAGAGGAGATGGAATATGCATCTGTTGGAGACAAGTCCTGTAGCCCTGTTTCCACTTGAAGAAAAAAAACCTTCTAACTGGGCTTTTCTCTCCTCCCTCCCCACTCCCCCTTCCCCTCTTCCCCTTCCCTTCTCCCCCTTCCCCTCTCCCCCTTCCTCACTTCCCCTTCCCCACTTCCCCCTTCCAGCCCTTCCATTTCTGCCTCCCTTTAACCTCCTGCCCCTTCCCTCCCTACCTGAACCCCTCCTTACCAAGACTTCAAAGGGAGTTAGAACAATGTCATCGAGACACTGAGAATCTAACTTTTCCTCAGTCTGAAGAAGAAAAACCCCACTCCCTCTTTCCTCTTAGGGAGATTCCCCTCGGAGGAGGTGAAATTGGGTTTCTAAATGCCCCTCTCACCAACTCTGAGGTCCGAAATTTTAAAAAGGAGTCACGACCCCTTCTCCAGGATCCCTTCGGGGTCTCAGAACAGGTTGATCAGTTTCTGGGACCACAGATAGATACTTGTGCTGAGTTAATGTCTATTTTGGGAATTCTCTTCTCAGGGGAGGAAAGAGCCATGGTCCATAGAGTGGCAATGGCTATCTGGGAGCGTGAACATCCCTGGGACAAAGTGTCCTGGCGGCTGATGTTAAGTTTCCTAGTCAAGATCCCCGATGGGATAACAACACCCCAGGGCACTGAGAAAATAGGAGACTTGAGAGAGTCGATGATGAGGGGACAATCAGGGGGAGGTGATTAACACGACCATTAGCTTTATAAATTTCCTGGGAAGCGGGGACTTCGTATTTCAAAGACTAAGTTACAATTTGCTGAGACTGGAGTAAAATATCTGGGACATTTGATCAGGAAGGGCCAACAAAGGATTGGTCCAGAAAGAATAGACTGGTCTCCCACTCCCAGGAACAGAACAAGAATTGAGAAAGTTCCTTGGTTTGTGGGATATTGCTGGTTGTGGACAGACTCATATGCCCTTAAAACTAAATCTTTTTATCTCAAATTGACCCAAGAGGAGATAAGAACAAGCAGATGAGCTACTTATCACAGCACCAATGCTAGCCTTGCCCTCTCATGAACAGCCTTTTCACCTCTTTGTAAATGTAAACAAGGGATTGCCCTTGGGGTGCTAACCCCAAAACACGGGGATCAATGTCAACCTGTGGCCTTCTTATCTAAATTCCTAGAACCTGTCACCCGAGGTTGGTCTGAGTGCATTCAGGCAGTAGCAGCTACAGCCCTCAACTGAAGAAAGCAGAAAATCACCTTTGGGGCAGTCTAGTTATTAGCACTTCCCATCAAGTTAGGACAATCTTAAACCAGAAGTGTAGACGGAGGATAGATTCCAGGGTCCTAAAGTAGGAGGCTATCTGGATAGAAAACGATGACCTGACTCTAACTACTGATGGGGCCCTAAATCCAGCCACTTTCTTGGAAGGGGAGGCAGAAAGGAGGAGCCCCACACATAAATGTTTAGATATTATTGAATACCAAATGAAAGTAAGGCCAGGCCTCGGGGAAACTCCTCTCCAGACCGGGCTCCATTTCTTTGTGTGTGGCTCCTCTTGGGTAATTGGGGGGAAAAGACACAATGGGTAGGCCTTGACTATAATAGAATCAGGCTGACTCCCTAGCAATTGGTCAGCACAGACGAATTGTTTGCTCTAAATCAGACTCTTAAAAAAATCAGCCCACTAAATTTGTCTTAGAGACCAGATTACTTGGATTAAATGCCTTCCCACAGCACTACTCAGGATAGGGACGGCCCCTCGGAAGGACACTGGCCTCTCCCCTTATGAAATGTTTTATGGCCTTCCTTACCTTAGCTCTGTTACTGATGTGCCTTCCTTTGAAACCAAAGAATTTTCCTCAAAAATTATACACT